AACCCGCAATTTATTCAGTTTAACTGAAAGACACACTGACATTAACACCTCCGGGGACGTCCCGAGCTGCGTACATGAGCAAAAATAGCATCTCTACGCGGTAGAAAGGACTAGTTTCCTTTCAGGGGACTTCTCGGTAGCGCTGCTTAAGCCTGCCGTGAGCCGACAGTTTCCAGCAGGGTGAGGGTGCGTGGGCTAAAGTGGGCGGACCTGACAGTTTACAGCTGCCGGCGGGACGCATGTTTCATTTCAGCACCAAGGACAGAGCAGGAGGCAGCAGCACCCACCGCACCTTACATAAGAACCCCAAGCCAGGAGCGCTCTTTACCGCTGAAGGACTGGATCGATTTGGTGTCTGAGAACAAGGGATGAAGTAAAGAAGTGAGATGCAAACTTATCAGAACTTCATTTTCATTTTGCCCTTCATATTTCTTTTATTTTCTTTGCGAAACTGGACAATTAACCTTCATATTAACGGCAAATTGATTTTATTATTAGAATTTTTCCATAATGTCTTCGTGTAAGAAATATCACCCTCGTGTGTGGAGTATGGTCTGGTTATAAGAAGTGAGGAAAAAGCCCACACGTGTATCACCTGTTCCTGTAACCATGAATGGTTATAATTTCACCGATTTCAACTCCACCCACGAAGCACACGCTTACCCTTACTCAGCGTCGGTAGACGACCCTCTGTACCGGCAGTACAAACCCCCGGTGAAGGAGCTCATCCCTTTACCAAAGGCGGTGCTGTATCTGCTCATGGCCGCTCTGGTAGTAGTTGGAGTTGCCTATGCCATCATTGGACACCTCATCAAGGATCTGGCCATTGACATAACAGGTACGTGCCAGTCACCCAGAGCAGGCAAATCAAACTCCTTTTACACCGTGGGCCGTGTATGCAGCCCATTTTGATCTGAATTGACCTGTGAAACTTCCATTTGTGTCAGTGTAAAGAAGTTCAACTACACATTTAATGCTTGAGATATTTTAATGAAAGAAGTGCAATTTTACAGCTCACTTTTTATCCACATGATAAAGAAATGCTGCTCTGGGCTTAAATTGTAAGAACCAAATATGTAAAATTACAGAAATGGTTCTGTTAGCTCATTGTGCAGACTGTGCTGAAATTATAAAACTGAACTTTATTTGTTAATTGACAGAATGTCTTTTTTAAAATTGTGAGCCCAGTGTAAAATACTACATTTCAACAGTAGATTGTGAAAAAACAGGAACTTTGTGTTTTTAATTATTCATCTTTATTACTGTGGTGGAGAATGAATGGCAATAGGGGAGAACTTCACCAGTAGTAAAAGCTGTACAACCAGAGAAAATACAGTTACAAGTCTAAAATTGGTGGCCAGTTCTGGCACTGGGGTCTTCTGTTTGGTACTCCTCTGTTTGGATTACAGCTCTGAGAGTACAATAACAGGGATGCAGCAGCAGTGAGGATACACTGAGTACTGATGCATGTACTTTTAACACCACTGTGATCCAAATGAGTTCATCTGCACTCAAAGCAGAGGTTATTTTTGCTCTATATGTTAATAAACATGCCAATAAAATGGGGACAGTCAGTGCTTGGTAGCTTTAGTTTAGCTTTAGTACTACAAAGGCTTAAATTGAAACACTTGTGCATCACTTTCAGCCAGACTGTTCAGGAATTCAAGCTTTCTTTTCAACACAAACCTCAGTTATCTGTCAGTTTTCGCCATTAATGCATCACCTTTGGTCAATTTGCCTGCTTTTTCACAGCTTTCAGTTTGTTGTGAATACTCCTTTGCTAAGCCGTGTCTTCCTTCTTTAGAGTGTTTGCTCGGTCCACCTGGAGATGAAGACAAAGACGAGGATGATCCCCAACGTATGGGCAGCCATCCCCCCTCGGCGCATCCGTTCGCTCACAATGCCTTCCACGTGTGGGACCAGGACGATGTGGTCATTCCTCTATCTCGCGACGAAAGCCCCCAGACCAGTCCGCTGCTGCTGGCTGCCATCCCCTACATCCCGTCATTCTTCCCACACTCTCACAGCCCACCGAGTCACGGCTCTCCGGGTTTCCCCAACTGCCCAGAAACAAGCAAGGAAATCCCGGGGGAGTTCTGATTGTGACATGGACCTTGACTACACGCCTGAGTGTGCATAACACATGACTTTGACAGAAGGAGATGGCTGCGAGGTACAAACATGTACAAACTGCACATCTCATATCCCGTGTCATTACCAGCAGACCTTCAGTGACTGTGAAGCGAGCAGCAGTAATGAAACTGTCTCTAACACGTTAAAGGATTTGTCAGTATTACACCACATGGCTTAAGACTGTTGTCACAAAATGAGAAAAGCTGACAATCTCAGGCAGGGAATCCAAAGAGGAAGTGATTTAGAGGAGAAGATCAGCACTTATTGTCTCTGTGTGCCTGATCTTCAGTGAGATACATTTTAGATAAGTACAAAAAACACGACATGTTGATATAAAGTATTTTTGTTGTTTTTTCTGTTTTGTTTTTTTTAAGTAAAATCTGTCTGAAATGTATCAGGGGGGCTATTGTGTCCAGTGTGAGTGACATATGATGATCCAGGGCGTGAGATTGAAAGACTGTCCATCTGCTGCAGCATTATAATCCACCTGCACAACAACAGATTAGCTGTAAAGTCTGCTCACAGATTTGCATTTTTTGCAGTGCAACGTGTCTCTTTGTTGGTGATTTTAATGTTATTTTGGTATGCTTCATGTATGACTCATAAAAAAGAAAAAGGAACGCAAAATTCGTTTCTGGAGTCTTTGACAAAGCTGCTTCCAACCTCCTGGCCTTCTCACACACTTCATTAAAATGTTATTTGAAGACACTCGGGGATTAGAGGAAGACTTAAGGGAGTTCCAGCTATTCAACAGTTACGTACGCAGAGCAGCTTAACCCTGCAGCTTTAGCGCAGGTGTCACACGCGCTCGTGGATTCCCTTTAGCTGTCTTGTACACAGAACGGGACAATGCAGCTTATGGCTCAAAGGTAACCGAAGATCTGAACATTTTAAAAAGAGACATTCAAATTTGTCTTAATTTAGCAGAGCAGAAACCAGACGGGAAATGATTAAGAAATTTACAGGTTAACTGTCCTAAAAACTGTAAAAGACCCATCAAATTAATCTGAGAACTGAACTTTCTCTGAACTTTGTCCAGGCAAAACAGGACATCAGCAGACTTCAGAGAGAAAGAAATTGTAAAATGCCCCAGGAGGCCAAAACAACTACAAAATAATAAAAGTAAATGAATAAAAATTTGAAAGAAAGAGTGGTGAGCTCTGCGACTTATCCATGGAACTGTGGTGGATGATCACGGGATCCTTTCTGTGTTTATAAAATACAGTAAATTATAAAATACAGAAATGAAGAGCACTTTACCACGAGGCAGGAAAATACAGAGAGTTTAAACATTTCATCAGCATCAGGAGGAATTCTGTAATGCATGCTGTAGTAAACGGCATAGACGTTGCTTCACAGAACAAATAAGCCTAAAATATTCTAGAAAAACAACCCAGGAGTCGTAAGTTGTGGAGTGACAGAGTAAAGTCACCGGACATTAATCTGACTGAGCTGCTTTTTATTAGATTAATGTGTCCAATTACATTTGAGCCCCTAAAAATAAAGGCATATGTACAGCCAAAGGTGGCTCTAAATACTCTCATTTTAATATAGTAGTTATATTTTGGTTTGGTCCATTCAAGCCCTCGGCCCATCTGAGAGGCATGGTGAAGGTTTGGGTCAGCTGACTTCAGTGTTTAATAGGTAGTTGTTAGAAACTCGATCACTACGTGTTGAAGTGGTGACGCATATCACTCTAATCTCTTTGATGGTCGCGGTACAGTTCAGTTTCAAATGTGAGCTTTTGCTAACCAACATTAGCATGAGCAGAAAGCTCGCTATTCAGCATAAGAGCTATCAGGACTGTTATGTGACACTGAAATTTAGAGTTTTACAGCCTGATCTGTCTTGATGCATGATCAATCATCCATACATCCATCATCTGGATGTAGTGTTTTCAACCATGACTGATTTCTTTAGTCTTCAACACTGATCAAAGATCATTGATCACTGATCAACGGTCACTGTTCACAGAGAGTTGGGGGATGGCTGCAACCACAGCATTGTAAGATGGTGAAAGCTGTACCCTTAGGCCCCCTCCTCGATTCAGAGATGGTCTTTCCCTTTTCACGTAAATGGCCTCCTTGACTCTGCGCTCAAACCAGCGTTCCTCCTGTCCAGGATGTGTACATCCTCATCATTGAAAGAGTGTCCACTGGCCTGTAGGTGTAAATAGACTGCTGAGTCCTGGCCTGACGAGGTAGCTCTTCTGTGTTGTGCCATCAGCTTTGCCAGAGGTTGCTTGGTTTCCCTGATGTATAAATCATGGCAATCCTCCTGGCACTTAACAGCGTACACTTTGTTACTCTGTTTGTGTCGGGGGACCTGATCCTTGGGGTCGACCGATTTTTAGCGCAGCGTGTTTTGTTGTTTAAAGGCCACGGAAACGCGGTGTTTGCAGCCATTCCCCAACTCTCTCTGAATTGTACTCATGGTCTTTGATCAATGGTCATGGCAATTTGCATATTAATGACCAAAGAACTGACCTCACAGCCCATTGTTCATTCAGTGGGCTTGTGCAAATGTACTGTTTAGAAGATTGGGGAAACCTGCAGTCAGCTGAGACTGAAGAAGACACTTGGATGAGTGACGAAATGTTTCTCCCACTGAAAACGCTTCGTCCAGATGATCAGAATCAACCTTTTGGGATACGACTTGATCTGTTTTATTTTAATATCTTTTTAACTTTGTTTCTCTGGTAAAGACGCAGACGTCACTCAGTCGTCCTGCTGCTGATCGGCATCTCACTGAAAAGCTGCATGCTTTTAGAAATGTGTGGGAGGATTACCTTTACAGTGTATGTTTCTCATACATGCATACAAGTAAAAACATGCTCATTTGAAGAATTACAAGCCAGACTGCACTGATACCTGGAAAAAGCTTTTATTTTGACTTCCAAAAGTTGCAGTTTTATTTTTCCTGTACAAGATGATTGAATATAGTAGATCAGGGTCAAGGTGGTAAAAAAAGGCAGTTTGTAACAAATTCAAGACTCATCCTCATTCACCCAGCTGCAGTGTGGAGTTCATAAAAAAAAAAAAGAAAAAAAAAAGATGCTCTTTTGTGTTAAAGCCCTTTGAAATCAGATCTGTCTGAAGGCTGTGGTGAAAAAAAGCCCCGTCCCTTTTAGCGCTACAGTCGCTTTCAGGCCAACTGCTTTTACTGGCCGAGCTTTGATAAAGGGGACAGCGGTGGTGCCGGGCTTTGAGGAGAGACGTGGGTATGAGGTGTTACACAGTAAAGATAAAAAGGAAAGGGTCCATCCAAATGAATAATAACATTAATAACAACAGCTGGGCGGTACTCAGGAGTCCAGGCGGCATATAGGGCTGTCGTAGACCATCTGTAGGTTCACCTTGTGTCCCACCAGCTCTCTGATGTTGTTGATGCCGTATTTAATCATGGTGGGCCTGCGAGACAGAGGAGAAGCCCGCGTGAGCGGTTGTTCTGTTGGGAGACGCGACTATGTTGTGTCTAACAGACGAGAGCGAAAACAACAGAGGTCGGAGTAGTAAAGGATTACTCGCCCTGGATTACGGAACATTACCCAGCTCACTCACTCCACGGTTATTAGCTGCGACAGTTGGTCGTAGTTAAGACTCAATTAGCGCTCGATTCAAACAGCAAGCTGAATACAGTGTGCGACGGCGCGACCAGCGAGCGACTCATTTGGGACGACTTCACTTTAGAAAAGCGGGAGTGAGCAAAGAGAAAGGCAGAGACTCACAGTCTGACCTCAAATAATTTCACAGGATAATAGAAATGAAACTCACGTACAAGCAGGAGTAATCCTCCACAGGAAACAAACCTACATTTCTTCAATGTGGGTCAGTTCAGCGCGTACACAAGAAGTGATTATGAGTACACACAGACTTAATCACACACCTTTAATCCCTACATGGAACATCTACTATAGTTTGGGAGATACGTACTGACGTCCTTCCCTTTTAGACTCATGCTGTGTCTAGCGTGGCTGACCTCTCAGTTTTCCTTGTAGCTAATTAACTCGTATTGCTTTTCATGCACGCTCACCTTTCCAGAGACAGGCCCCAGGCAATTACAGACACATCCTCAGGGAGGCCCATGGGAAGCAGCATCTCTGGTCTGAACACTCCTGAGTTTCCCACTTCCACCCACTTTTTTAATCCTGTACACGTGGAAAGAAATGACAAAAAACAGGGATGTCAAACTCATTTTTACTGTGTACAGCCCACCAACAAGGACAATTTCAACACTACATCTCAGTCTAGTGTAAAGAAGATCAACTAGATGATTATTGATTGCGATGTGTCACATGAATGACCATTGGGGAGGTCTCTATCATTGGTGAAAGCTATAAAACTTACAGTTAAAAGTCTAAAATTGATGTCCTCCTTCACATTTTCCAAAGCCTCCCAGTGGGCCAGATTGGAGTCTTTGACAGGCCAATTCTGGTCCCCGGGTCTTATGTTTGACACCCCTAATATACACCATCAGAAATGTCTATAAAAGAGACTACTAGGACGTTCTTTTGGCTTTCTTAAAGCTCAGGTTTCTGTTGTGTGTAAGTTAGACTAATAGCGCTACATAAAAACAGAGTTGCACTGTACCTTCATGGTAGCTGAACACTTCCATGCTGGGCTCTGTGTAGGGGTTGTAGGCAGGCTTGAAGCGTAGTTTGGTAATTCCTAAAAAAAGGCGTTTGGTAAAAGAATAGGATATTGTAACTGTCTGTTTATTTATTTTTTTTTAAAGTGAGTATTAAGAGGCTTTCTACAAACAACTATCAGCACATTTGTCCCTTCCAAACTTTGGTCTTTCAAGTCCAGTGTCCTCTATCAGTCCTCACCTAGTTTGGTGAAGAACTGATGCAGAACACCCATGAGGTCTCCCAGAGTCAGTCCATAGTCGGCTACTACGCCCTCTATCTGGTGGAACTCTGCTAGATGGGTGGCATCGAGGGTCTCGTTCCTAAACACGCGATCGATGGAGAAATACTTGACGGGGGTGAACTTCTCCTGGTTATCAGTGTGAGGAGAAAAGGAAGGGGAGAAGAGTTTTAGAGTTATTGACTGGACACATACGACGTCAAAACAATGTGAACCCACACCTTAAACCATCTGCTGCTGCTGCTCTTCTATGGAGGGAATTACTCACATTCAGACACAGGAGCATTAGTGAGGTCAGGCGTAAGGCCTGGATCTCAGTCAAGTTTCCAGTTCACTGTCCAAAAAGTCAGTGGGTGCTTAAAGGGCAGGTCTTAAGACATGGTAATGACAAACGCTGTGCTCTTGTTGTCTAAAACATACTCTATGTTTTACTTCAGAAAACAAACATTATGTTGAAATTACATTTACTGACGGGGGAATTACACTCTTAGTCGTGAGCTGTATTATGAAGTGTTACCAAGAAATCAAATCACCAGACAGCTCTGATTTATATGGTCAGTGCAGCGTCCCTACAGTCTCACCTGCTGTGCCAGTTTATACAGCATGCGTGCGCTGACTGCTGTAGTGTGAGTGCGGAGGATGTTCTTCTGAGCCTCCTCTATCTTCCAGTCATACTTGTACCTACAAGAGAGATGATAAAATGCAATGAGATGCAGTGACAGCAACGACACTGTTACTTGTTAAGTGAGCTTGTGATCACGCCTCACCCCTGTGAACCGTAGCCTCCCTCAGAGTGGACCTTCTTCACCCTCTCCAGGTAGTCCTGTGGGAACTCGTGGGCGTGCGCTGGGTCTGAAAAACAGCGAGTGAAGGGTGATCAGAAATCATTCTCGATTGAACTCGCAGCTCATTTCCACCACTCGGTGACCTCGGGCTCACCGGACAGGAAGAAGGTGTCGTGCTGGTCTCTGGCTGGGTGCTGCTGGGGCTGGAAGAGGGAGTCAAAGTTCCAGAAAGAGCTTTCTATGAAGTTGTTGGTCGGCATCTCGGTGAAACTACAAGAAACAGATGGTTAACTGGGTGTTTTATTATGCGAATGTGTGCGTTTCTCCCAGTTTCACAGCTGCTCACCCCATCTCCAAGAAGATCTGCCGGAACTGCGTTCGCACCTTCATCAGCGGGTGTAGGTGACCGCAGTCTGGGGCAACACCCATGGCCTCAAAGTTGTAGGGCTTAAATTTCTTCTCTTTCCAGTTGCCACTGGAACACACCACATGCAGGGAGGTAACACAAAAACATTTCTCTCAAATCATTTCGCCATTTTTAATCTGTGGCTGAGATGATTGAGGCGGGCGAATCTACAGTGCACGTAATCAGCACGGAGCAGCACGCAGAATACCAATTTGAATTTTGGGCAATGCAACATCTGGATACTGCTTTTAGCCAAATCCTCTATGATATGATTTCATGCAAAAAAACAAAAGTGTGCAAGCGCTCTTTTCATTCTGTCGCTTTCAGCATGAAAGCTAAAGCATCTGTCCTGCCCTGCCTTTAGGACTGAGTCCACATCTTTGGACTTGTCCCCTTTTATGGGCAGATTTTTTCTCTGTCCTCACTCAGGACCCTGCAGGCTGACACTGACTGCCAGAGGAGGGTGGGCCTGGGTTGGAATTGAACCCAGGCCTCTGCAGTGAGGACTCTGTGCGCACGCTTTACCTGATGAGCTACTGAAACTCTGAGGAGAGTGCATCTCTACATACCTGGCAATCATCTCAGGGGTGAGCTCCGTCTCCTGTTTGGTGATGGTGGTGCTGAAGGAGTTGCCCTTAGTGATCCAGTAAGACTTCACAGTCCTGAACACAAATTAGAATGACCTCAGTACGCAGAAAGGTACTGCTGTTGACAATCTAAAGACCGTAAAAACATGCAGTTATTTTTATTTTGATTCATACTTTCATAGCAGAAAAATCATTTCAAAATAAAGGATTTTAGGTACTTCTTGCATGAATTTATTGATTAGAATAAAATAAAGCAGAACATTCTTAATAGCAAGAAAGAAAGTACACCTCTGCACAGGGCTGTGCGATATGACCAAAATCTCCTATTCCAATATAAGAATTCTATCGTCCCGATAACGATATAAATCACAAAAATGTAACATTTTCTGTAAATTCTGTGAATCTCGGGCAGCTCGTCTTGCGGGAAGTGTTTCCAGCTGCGCGTCGTGTAGCTGGAGTCGAGTGTTTTAACCCATGCATGAAACTATACATTTTTAGACATAAGTTGTAACGGCCGCCGTTTTCTTTGTGAGTATTTATTACACGGCGTGCTGCGGGGAAAAGCCTGTTCTAACGTTTGAGTCTAAGGTTTATTTTTTAGCACCTGGCGGCTCTTTTTTTTTAATTCTCATCCGTAAATAATCTGCTCTTTCACCTGATTCAGTTTATTTTGAAAAGCCTCAACAGGATCTTGAGCTTTATTGTGAAAGGTTTATGTGGAACATAAAAAAGCAGACACGCGATGCTGTTAACGTCGTTGTTGCTAACCACAACGCATAAAAACAGGCGCTTGTCCGTCCATAGTGTGGTTATATAAAATATAAGAGAAAGAGAGAACTTTAAGAAATTAATATAGCCACTACAGTGACCATCAAAACGATGAAAAAATATTGCCGTAAACAGTTTATTTTGCGACACCACGAAACAAACGATAGCGTAAAATGAAACGATAGACGTTTTTATATCATCATCCGATATATATGGTTCTATCGAACAGCCCTACCTCTGCATGGATTTGAACTTGTGACCTCACACTTTCAAGCCCATTTCTTTTCCTACTGAGCTAGTGTGGCATAGTGATAAATCCATTATGTACCACACAGATTAGTTGTGATGGCGTTCAGAAAAACAAACATGTGTTTAGCTCCTTTCTTGCAATAATGATCCAGATTCATCACTTTTTAAACAGACCTCCATTCTACATGGAGACAACACAAACATCCGCCCATCTGTGGACCAGCTTTGGCCCAGGAGATGACGTCAGGGTCTGCTTTGAATAACCAGTCAGAGGAGGAAAGACTGTCAGATGTGACCAACAGCTATATAGCCACATATATGTTCTCACAGAAACATCATGTCTACCCACGACATGATCACTTCCCTAAACGACAGAAACTCTGATGTGAAGCTAATTAGCAGAGATCCTGTGAGGTTAATTCAAGAACCTCTGTGACAAACCTGCCACGCTGCCACATCACAATGTGATGGTTAAATCTGTCTCACATTGGGAGGATTATTTAAACATCAAACGTAAACATGAATAGAAGCAAAACATTTTTGTGCTGGGGGGGAGTGCTGACAGGATAGCAGGAGCTCTAGTTCTACACTTAGGTAAACATGGGAAAACCAACTAGGTAGATCCAACAAATCATTATTACTTTTTCTAGTGCTCCTCACAGCGGTTTCCTCACATCCATTATTCTTAAGCAGGGGCTCTGCTGCTGCTCAGAGAGGATGCAACATTTATGGACAAGAGTGTCATTTCAATCATGAGTTTAAATGAAGTTAAGCTGGTTGTTAAACTTAATTTGTGCTGCTTTTAGGCACCTGTGGGCTTATTGGAGTGGTGCTGATGCAGGCAGGCAAGCGGTTTATTTGTATAGCACTTTAAAAAACACACCAGGCAGACCAAAGTGCTGAACGACACCGATCAAAACAACTAGCAAAATTAAAAATACAATAAAATTAATAAGAAAGGTGTCAGTTTCCTACACAGTTAAAAGCCAGAGAATAAAAATACGTTTTCAATCTGGATTTAAAGACCTGCACTGATGACGCTTGTCTAATATGGAGGGGAAGGTTATTCCAAAGCATCAGAGCCACAGTTGAGAATGCAAATGTAAACTGTTAAGACACAAGAATCATTTCAGACCTGTATAAAAGATTTATTGAGCTTTTAGGGGAGCAGATCATATGCAGCTGTATTAATAAAAGGATAAAAGGCTTTACCTAAAAATATCATTATATAATATTATATTATCTGAACTGAAGCCATATTCCACACACACACACACACACACACACACACACACACACACACACACACGGTTACTTTGCATCCTGGACCCGAGTGCGCTTTAGTACATCTTTATTTGTTCCACTTATTTTACTCCATCACTCTTCTCCATTCAAATGTAAACATCACCCCTCCCACCATCACGCCCACTCTAATACACACACACACAAAGCAAGTGTGGTTGTTTTTAGCGCACAGTGACACGCCATCCGCTTCCATGCCTTACGGATTCATCGGTTATTTAACACAGTGATGAATTTTCCACTCAGGCTGAATGCAGCTGAATCACACCGGGGATCACCTCTTCCATCACATTTAATCAAATGAACCAGACTTACAGGGTCAAACATGCTGAGGCAGAGGAGTGTCAGTACAACCTTAATCTGATTAAGTAAAGCTCATTTTAAAGCTTTTACTCTGGAAATTGTAAGACTTTTTTCCACTTCCACTTTCCATGACTGGAAACAGCAGCAGCAAATATTTTTGGGACCATTTAAAAACATTTATATCATGTGTTTGCCCGTCCCGCCCGCCTGTATGTAAGAATAATTTCTAACTCTACGAAACGAATCAGCTAACATGATTCAGACCACTAAGTGACATAAAATCTGATGGTTTAACACTCCTAGCTACCATTGCAGAGATTTGGCTGAAACCCCATGAGCAGCAGACTTCATGTGTGTGTGAAATGTGAAGTGAAAATATTGCCTGTTGCAATACTGAATGAAATTCAACACACTTAACTATGTTTTTGAAGACCTCTAGAGATGCCTGTCTACTTTGTGCATGTTCATCTCTTATTACTGCTGAGCTTGATGAGAACTTGAATCCAGTAATACCAGGCAAGCTGGAATGAGCAGGGAAACCCCTGAGTATCAATTAATCGTCTCCTGCCACCTACTGGCAGAAAAAGGTACACATTCACCACTAACTAAACAAGAGGACTTACACTTCAGAGAGCAGTTTTCTCTTCTTCAGCTCATTCTTTTCTTTTTCTTCCAGCTGAGTACTGTGGCCTTTCTGCACCAGAAGCAGTTTCTCCCTGACCTGGTCGTCTATGCTCTCCACCTGGGGATCAAAAACACACACCTTAATGAGAAAACTGACCTCAATCAGAAAAGGCGACAACAAAAGGCGGGTATGATGGAACACCTACAGTCCTGAATATCCTGGGGCCACCCTCGTGGGCCTTGTCCACTCTTATCCACTTGCTGGACATGGCCTTGCTGAAGCCGATCTTCCCAAATGGCAGTTTCTACACAGAAATGATGGCAGAGTTTAAGAAAGTTTAACTGAAACATCAAAAAAGGCTGAAAATACATGAGAGATGCAGACATTGGGAAATTCAATACAGATGTTTGACAAACATAAAATACATACACGTAAAACCTGAGCATAAACAGTCGAGTGGATGTTGTATTCGTAATATTGTGGACTTTCAGGGATATTTAAGAATCAAAACCTTGCTTCTCTTAAGTGTGTAGCAAGTTACCTCCGTCAGGTACCTAATGCATTAGATTCTTTGTTATTCTGATAATAATTAATTAATTAATTAATTTCAAACACTAACCATGAGCTCGCTCTGAGCCAGGCCCTCCTGGGGGATACAGCTAAAGACCCGGGATTCATGGCTGCCCTGCTCGGCGATCTCGGTGCCCTCCTCGGTCAGCTCCCAGTGCTTGGAGGAGCGCAACTCGGCTGAGATTACCTGTACAACAGGTAACAAACACGGCTGTCAGCTCAACCTATTGCATCAGTCACCGTGCATTTGACTGTGACAGCCTAACTTCCGCTGCTTCTTCGTGAAACTTACGTCACCGAGAGCCTGGAGACTCTTCACGGCCCCGACGATGACCTGATGATCCACCCCGAGGCTGGTCGCCACGGCCAGGCTGTCCACGCCGTCGTCCACCTTCTCAACCCGCTGTAAAAGCGTCTCCAACACACCGGTGTCCGCCATGCTGTAGCTCTACGAAGCCCGAAAGAGACCGGACGTGACGTCACTTTCTCGGAGGCCGAACAAGCAGGAGTAGCTAGGGCTTATCCTTCTTATTTCATTGTACTGTATATTGTTACTCTTATTTGCCCTGTATGTCTACTGTAAAAACTGAACTGGAATGACTGACTGTTCGCTTTATAATTTCAAATAAAGTTCAGAAAAAAAGGAGTAGCTAGGGCGACATAAAATGGGTTACCGTAAATATTGTATTTCTGTGCAATTTAGTTTTTGAATTTGAAACAAACAGAGAAATTGTTTCAGAATCAAATTTCTAATCTTTTAATAAAACAAAAATAAATACTTACTTTAGCTTTTTATGGACACCAAATATAAAGGTTTTTGACTGATAATAATAATAATAATAATAATAATAATAATAATAATAATAATAATAATGGATTGCATTTATAAAGCGCTTTACAATCCCACTATTCATTCACTCTCACATTCACACACTGGTGGAGGCAAGCTACAGTTGTAGCCACAGCTGCCCTGAGGCAGACTGACAGAAGCGAGGCTGCCATATCGCGCCATCGGCCCCTCTGGCCATCACCAGTAGGCGGTAGGTGAAGTGTCTTACCCAAGGACTCTTGTCACATACTGCTACTACTATCCATTGTTGAAAAAATGTGTTCATGACAGTGCAGATTTCTGGCATTTTGTGTAAATTTAAGCATGTAACAATTTAATTAGACAATAAGACAATTTAGTTAGACTTGTGTTTGTAACTGAACCACCTCATGTTGTGTAGCTGTCTAGATTTTATACTTATTGGGCTACATACTTATTTATTATACAGACTATACAGTACATAAAATCAAATATCCCATGTTTTATGTAACTGAAATGTTTAATTGTGTGGGCTAAAAAATAAGACAGTTGTAGACTATATTTATATGAAACATGTATACATTTACTGCATTTGATGTATTTTAACCATATATAATACATTGTATACAATGTAACACCAGCATTTGTGTAAAGAAAAAAAAAAGGCTGTGATTTTGCTACCCCATTTGATTTCCATACAAACCTAAGAAAATTTCTCTAGATCCGCCCCTGCATAGCTAAACATTGTTTATCAGGCATTATCAATAGATGAAATTGGACCTATTATGCTACCTACAAGCTCCATAAAAGCTAGTTTTATTTTAGACTCTACTAGAAAAACTTTGCTTGATGTACACCTCAAAGTAATCCTTACTTATCTTACACTGGGTCTTTGTGTAGCACCAAGTTCAAAAAGAGCGACTTAAGCTTCTTTTTTCCTTTGTAGCCACCGTCCTAAAGCAGACTAAAATTGCGTTGTCATGGCAATCCAAGTATGGGCGGATATTATGGTGTACAAGGTGGTCTAACATCCCTTTTTCTGCGAAAAACGCTTTGGCCTCAGCACATCCCTTTATATAACTATATAATTGTAAATAGCTACTGGTTTAATCATAGGCAGATGTTTATGCATATAAATATGTTTTAAAAGACTGACTCCCCACGTTTCTCAAAGTGGTTTGGTCCACTGCCGACCAAAGGATGAGTGAGAAAGCGTCATTTCTATAACATAGTTACAGTCGGACTATATTTTATTGGTTACTAACCTTTAACAAACTTTTCCGCTTCAGTGATGCCACTACATTACAGGACATTTATAACCCTAGGGGCATCTATGAACATTTAAAAAGAATAAAATAAAATCATAACTTATTTTACCCAGTTTCCAAATGCTTATAGCTGTAATTTTGGTAGCGTTTCCAGATTTCCTTTGAGCCTGCTTAATATTACCTGTGAAATACCCCACTTTATATGATTATAACTGTTAGCCGATAACTTTAGTCAAAACTGTAATGAAGGCTTTTATTCAAAATAAAAGTCTTTTATTGATACAAACATAGTTTGTTGTACATTAACTCAAACAAGTCCCACCCAATCCAAAAGCTACATTGAGCAGAAATGTGACTTTAAACACCAGAACGTAAAGTGTACTTTCCAGTAATCTCCAAAACCATTTATTAAAATAACTACATCACAGTAGGTAAATTACAAAATAAGCCAAAATTACAAGCACTGGAGAAAAGTTGTTCTTGGGTCCACTGAATTGTTACAAAAACAAAAGGAAAACAAAACACACAACCCTGTAGTTTAACACCACAAGATTGTACTAAATTTCATGTGGAAATAAATGCTGTTGCCACATAACTGTTAAAGGAAACCAAGTCAGAACAAGCAAGTGAATTGTAGCATCGGCTTTCATATTTAGTGATGAGAATGGGGACTGGTAGTATCGATTTAAAAAAAAAAAAAAAAAAAAAAAAAATTATATATATATAATTTTAAAAAAGACTAAGCACTGACCAGACCACTGAAACAGACCAGTAAATTCAGCCACAACTCTGCTTTGACACATCAAAGTCCAGATATCTCGTTTTGTGCCCACATGTGCTACATACAAACCAAAAGCACATACGAAGCAAACATAGAAAAGGCAGAGAGCACAGGCAAGCCGTCAATCACTTTCTTTGGAGAAGGCTTGAGACACTGATGCGGGGTGCTTGGTGCTGGAGATTCACAGATGGAGGGACGCAGTCGTCTATCTGTACTGGTAGTTCATGCTGCTGTCGCCTCTGCCGTAGCCCACCGAGTTGTGGTACTGAGAACCAAAGCCCTGGTTGCTACCTCCTCCACCTCCCTGTGAGTTGTAACCGGACTGGTTGTTGAAACCTGCACCAAAACGATGACAATTAGTGATGAAAATGTGTATAAATAAAATTTTTCTTAGAATCCTTAAAATCCCAACACTTTACCAGCGTAACTGTAATCTTGATTACCTCCAGCTCCTCCTGTCACTTGGCTCGGGTATGCAGTGCTGTACGAGTATCCACCTGCTCCCCCCTGGTTCTGGTTGAAACTCTTCTTTCCCTGCCCGTAGCCCTGGCCATACTGGTTATAGGAGCCCTGCCCTGAGCCGCTGCCAGACTGGTAGCCCCCTGCAGGCCCACTATTTGTCCCTGGGGGACCTGGAAAAGATGCTTTCCCTCCTTTGTGCATAGGTTTCTTTTTGAGGGGCTTGCAGGCAGAAGCGGCAGTGTAGGCTCCATCGTTCTGGTAGTATGAACCATAGGATCCCTGTGCTGGGCCCAGTGCTGTGTTAGCTGGAGGGCCAACCGATGAGCTGCCTGATGCCCCAGGTCCTCCGTTTGTACCTCCGTTATTGTAGTAATCTGTGAAACAAGGGCATTGCATGGTCATAAAAACAAACATAGCATGGCAGCGGCTGCACCTACTACATGTTTCTTAATGGCAATACATTGTGCGTGACAATCAAAACAAAGCCTGCAGTAGCACAGTGATGAATGAAGTCACATTTATTTAAAAAAAAAAAAAAAAAAAAAAACCTAAAACAAAACAAAACATAAAAACAGCTAGAACAAGTCTTTTCACCAACACGCATCAGATCTTCCAATTCATCCACTGTCTTCCAACAGCTACAGTTCAGAACTTAATACAGATGGAAAACTGAAACCTGCAGACATCCCCAAAATAAGAACATCAGGCATTCAGTGCAGTAATGACTTAACAAGTGTTGCTGATGTGATACAGAAACAGCAGATTCTTTTGTTGTTTTCGAATAGACCACATGACCACTTTTTAAAAGCAAACTGGAAAAAACATGGGAGTGAGTAAAAAGCATTAAGAGTGAACTAAAAAGCAATCCACGTGGAAATGTTCTCAGCATTTGCATCCAAGAAAACGTTAAGATAAAGAGAGAGACCAGGCCATCCTCGTGGTCTTGACAACAATCCAAAAGACAGTCTAGTCCAGCTGCCAGCTAGTCACACTCCAGAAACAAGCCCCGTCCCCCAGTATGACGGGTGAAGATACTCTGCAACAAATCGGCCCTGCAGCTTGCAGAGATCCAGGAGTTTGGGTACATCCACGGCAACTTGAGAGAACAAGGTGTTATGGCTACATGCATGCAAGTGGCACGTCATCTCCCCGAGGTGCCATGGTTACGACAAGAAGAACTGGCAAGACAGGGCAGAGGGTAGTTGTCACTTTGTTCCAAGGGTTGAGGACTTGGTGGTGAAGAGGAGTTCGTGATGCTTCGGGAAAACTACTGAGTATTTTGTCCGTTTTTATCCTCGCTACAGCACAGTTTTGGATTTTCTAAGACTGGGGGAACATCTATGTCGCAAACTCGTGGTAGCCATAGCAGTCTGAGACAAAGTCACCTAAAGAGTGAGACAGGGCAGAGAAGGGGGAAAAAAAATGATCAAAATTAGATTTAAATTTTAGTTTGAATTTTTTTCCCTGCCTTAAAATTGTGGCAGGTGAAATACTCATTGGTCGGATTTTGTTCAAACTGAATTTGATTTGTTTTGGTCTTTTTTCTTTTTTAGATTTCTCTGCTCCTGTCACGCTCTTGTAGGTCAGTCCTCAGAACAGGCTGCCAGAACGAAGAAAGGGGTACTCATAAGAGGCGACTTGTCAAAACCAGATTCAATCCTGTGGCTTAAAGCAGAGAAATGTAAAATCACTGAACTGGGAACAACCCAGCATATGGTCTTGCTGGCTGGGGGAAAAAAAAAAAAAAAAAATTTTTTTTTTTTTTTTTTTTTTAAACACAGACTACATTTCCCAGAGTTCTAGCCAGATGCAGGAGGACATCAATGCTAACAAACTGGCAAAAATATATAATTCTGAAGCTCACGGGGTAAATCAGATTCTCAAAGATTACATTCTTACCCACAACAAGATTAGAAAGGAAGAAATGGACACTCACTGTATCCGGAGTTGGCGTTGTTCCCATAACCATATGTTCCAAAGCCACCTAGGAGGAGCACATAAGTTTTATTTTCAAGAGATTTAACACTGTGTCAAGCACACTGACCAAGTCTACCAGCAGTACCAGTATACCAGGATCTGTTTTTACCTCCTTGGCCATAGCCGCCTCCATTATTGAAACCTCTGCCTCTTCCACGACCTCGCCCTCCTCTCCCTCTGCCCCTGGGG